AGAACACGCATAGTGCAGTAATATAATCGTATCGTATCGACTGCCGTTTAATTTCGAATCGTGTGTATTGTTTCGTTTAAGGCTGAGTTCAAGCGTGGCGAGAGAATACAATTTATATATTATTATTTTATAATGGTTCGGTCCGCGCTTTGATAATATATATAATACATGGTCGAAACCCCTTTTAAAACGTGCTAAGCGTGCAGCGTCCTGCGAGGTCTCAAACCCGAAGCGATCGCGAGCAATCTAAAGGCCCCAGCACTGCACATACACGTAACCGGAAGTAACCGAATAGGTTTCCTTTTGGAAATAATATATGTGTATTGAAATTATCCCAAATTCACCAAAGTATTATGAAAGTAATTCCCACGTCACGATCGGTTCAACGAGAAAAATAGTATATAAGTATAACTTTCGTTGTAAATACTTGGAGATATAATAATGATAATAAACAAAAGTATAATATACTATTCCCGGTGTACTTATGTGTTATATGAACTGTTAAGTATCTTTAAACACTATATAAGTGATACACTACACACCGAACTATATATGGTTTATTTATACGGATTATACGTACAATAATACTGCGAATAATTGCTTAAAATCAAACTTTTAACAACTAACTTAAAATCTTCAACTATGTAGGTAAATATTTGGCTATAAGCGAGATATTATACGAATCGCTGTTTAAGTTCGTGGCGAATTAAATTATGTGCCGCAGCAGTATGGGGGTACTATAATTCGGCCAGAGGGGTAGAAACTCGGTAACCAATTGGGTATATCAGCCATCACGTACACATTATATACGACTCGTCCTGGTTTTTTCTTTTTCTAACCGTCTAATCGTGTACCAGATATTATACGAGCGCCCACACTGCACACACACACACACACACACACACACACACACACACACACACACACACACCACGCTCGAGTGCTCGTTATCAAAGCGTATATACCGAGAACGGCGAGGAGAAAAAGAGACCGACCAAATTATAAAATATATATATAATATACGGTATATTAGTTGCCGGAGTCGCATCCGTGACCGTCCGCATACGGGATGAAATAATAATATTGTCGTGTGCGACCCTCGGATGACGGGGCTGTTGTGCAGTGCCGAGACGATAAACAGAGGCTGTTTTGATTGCCCACGAGGGTTGGAAACGGAACCCACTGACAAATGAAACGAAACACGCTGTGCGTGTACGTATGTACATATTATATATATATATACGAGTACGTAATCGACACATGTTTTATTTCATCCACTGATATAATATAATTTACAGTATAATAATATATATTATCATAATATACGCATATACATCACGAACCCATTTGCGTCTGCCGTTTCGGCAAACTCGTGTTTACTGAAAAAAAAAACGACAGATATAATCTCAGATTCCGGGACTCGAAAAACCTTTTACCGCGCGCCAGGTCAAAACGTTTACTTATGGAAAAAAAATGTAAAACACTGGTCGTCGTTATTATTATATCGTGGATATTAATCGATTCGATTTGTACATTTATATAATAATAGGCCCCAATAAACGTCCATTCGAAAGACGTTTTCGGTGTCATTTCCTGTATCATACGTATTATATATATATAATGAAGTATAATATTATGCACTGACCTGCAACGCGGAGTATCGATAAAAAAGCATTTTATAAATAATCTAGTAAGCCTGTTATAACGATCATATAATATACTAGTAGGTTTAGTACATACACGCTACATACTATTTAGGTTGTACCGTTATTGTATATATAATATATATATCGGATGATCCATTTAACGCAAGACATTCGTTATTTCGAAAACTATTAATGTTTTTGAAAATATTTTTTAACATAATATTTAAGTAAACAAGAAACAACGTTTTAAGAAAAAAATAAGTATTTTTTACTATTTTTTATAAAATGCTGGTCCACTACTAAACTTCAGTCATCTAAACTTTAAATATTTATGACTATAGATAATAATCAGCTTGTCCGAAATTTTATTTTTATTTTTTACAAATTGAAATAATCCGACTAATCTTAGGAATATCAAATTAATAATGTATGACTTATATTTTAAAAAATATTTGTGTTTTCTGAAATAATGTGCATCTCAGGTTAAACGGATCACCTTGTATATATATAATAAACATTAATTTTATATTATATATAATATTTATCATATATACCAACTACCTATTAAAAGCGTAATATTATGTTGCATAATGCAATGTCTGACCCATGATTTTAATAATTAGGTCGAATATAATATCTTGAGCCTTTGACACGGTTATGATTTCGCTCTCGCGCGTTTCGACCTTTTATTCCAACGAGAAAGGGTTCAACAACGATGGTCTCAGTATTATATTATATCATATACCTACACCTCGCAGTATATTCACCCCAGACACCGATGTATATATATATACGTGTATACGTCGGATGTTATGATATTTATAACAATATGTAGGTATAGGTTGCCGTGTTAGCGTACAACAAAGTAAATAGCTAGGGTGCGTGTGGGGTTGTTAAAAAAACATTGGGTGCAGTGCCCTGCCATAGTAGACTCGTGTCTGCACCCTGGATCAAAAAAGCGGATAAAAGTCGCCCGACGTCACAGCTCCATAGTGATAAGAGATCGTTAATGTCGCGTCGTACACCAAGTTTTCGCAAGAAAATTCAATGACTGTTATAACGCGGCTTTATTTTACCACCTAAATCCCACCGCCGCCGAATCAAGCCAACGAAATCCGGGTGAAATATAAAACGCGACGGGTCGCAGACGTTGAAAAGGCTTCAGAAAGTCGTGTAACGCGTGAAAATTAATTTCCGACGTGCGAGTCGGTCGTTCCGCACCCGTATCAGTACTTAAAATATTTTCGTCGTGATATCGTAGTTAGGTAACATACTATAATATGATATGAAATATTATTAAAGTTTGCTCTGTTCGGTGGTCCCATAAAAAATGTCTCACGACGTACATTTCACAGGATGTTAAGTCGTTTTCCGAGACGGCTCGTCCTAGGTGACGTGCAATCAAACAGTCAAGATATTGACATGCGCACTCACATAAACCAAGCTGCTATTCAATGAGCAGATGTGTGAAATATTTCAAAACACAACAAAGGGAGGTAATAAATCCGCATGACAAATACGTTTATAATTCGCGGTGGTATATATGGATACCTGGATATTGGTACATGGGCGACAAAGGAGCGGATATACCGTGCGCGGTAGCGACCGTGACTAATAATATTATTCCAACCGGGGTGCGACGGCGGCGGCGGCGTGGCATAACGAGACCGTATACGTATTTGTTTATTTCAATGGGAATATTATATAGGTGTCAGGAGAAAAAAAACTCGTATACGGGTCAAATCCCTCGGAATTCCTTGGCTCGCATAAGCGCACACAATCATGCGTTATATATTATACGCGTATATAACAATAATAATACTAATGTATATTCTTATTATTATATTATATTACCACCGGCGGCAGCGCGAGGCGGACGGACGGGACAGCGCAGCACCTGGTTGAGACCAAACGGGCTCGCATATTATTATGCTTTAACGCGTTCTTTCACCGACGTCGACGGATTATAGCAAATATAATATAATATATTACAGGCAGGTTCCTATACATATATATCTATTATACGCCGACCCTACAAATAAGACGGTTTGTTTGCTCTTTTTGTGTTCGGAAACCAATTGCCGCGCTGAACACACACACACACTTACACAACATACAAAACATAACGCGTTTAGTGGGCGTATAATAATATAAGAATCGTAAAAAAAAGGCGGTGGTGCGTAAAAGGCCAATTTCCGAGGTGGAAAACCAGGTGTGAATGTCTCCGGTGCTGCCATTCACCACGTCTCCGGGGTTCAACTATAAACTCCGCCACGCACTCACACCCGCGATATGCGTAGTTATATACAATATCGCCGCGGGAGTTTGTGTGTTGCATTATAATACTATATATAATATATGTATACTTGTATTGTTACTGTACTATCGATTTGCAAAGAAAAACGTACCGAATGTCGCCTATTAGGAGGGAAATAAGCGGCGAGGACTGCTGTTAGTGTCGTTAGTGACGATTCGACTGTAAATAACTGGCAGCAGCGTCCGCTGCAAGCGAAACCGCCGAAATTAGTCTCGGGGTATACGACCATATACGTCTATATAATATTATATGTATGCGTTTAACGCGTAATGTGTGTGCATTATCCACGTTTACATATATAATGCGAGCGGTTATTGGATATAATAACCGTCTGATATTATTATTATTATTAAGAGTACATGGAAGAGAAGACACAGAGTGACGATTACGACGCTCAAACGACGTGTAAAATGTTCGCACCGAGTGCGCACATTATATTGTATTATGTATACCTACTCGTCGAGTCGCGGACTAGGGGAAGAAACTATATTAAGCTCTGTAATGTGTACTATAAAAATAGGTATAGGTACAGTTTTCTCCGGCATATAACACCACCGGTACAACGACGATATATATGCGCTATAATATATTATAGTGTATAGTTGCGACGATCGCGTTATAAAAATGCATTAAAAAAGATGCGAGAGGGGGTGGATTTAAATTATTTTTTTCTTCACTCGGTAATGGAAAAATCCTACGGCACTCACTACGGTTTGATTTTGTTACAGAGTCTGTATCAATACAACATATAATTTATTATATACAATATGTTTAATGTTTAATATATGCGTAGAACGTTCACCATAACATTGTCCCAGCTCGTTTTAATCGGTTTTAGCACGATTTTTGTTAATCGAATAGTATTAGATAAGTACTATTATGAAAGCAATTAATTAAATTTATTTTAAACTTTATTCATGAGTAATAATTCTGGGTTATCTCTGGATTAGCTGTTATTTTTTATTTATTATTTAATATTTAAGTGATGTTTAAGTCGAATTCTCTATAAATAAGTAAATAGATGTACAAAGACTCACCTTCCAACAGTCCGATTTCTTCTCACATTCCGTGGCTTCGACGTCTCTGGGCACCAACTGAAACATAAACAACGAAAATCGAGTTATTAATAATGTATATTATTATACATAGGTAGTTGCACAGCATAATATACGAGTTCCTGCGTTCGGCTGGAAGGAGGAGGAACCGGAGATGACTAATGTTATATAATATTAAATCACATATATCTCATATAAGCATCTATACACAAAATATATAATAATATATACCTACCCTCCGCCGTTTGGGGAATTGACTTTGTGCCTGGAAATCTCTGTAGGGAATTACATGCATGTGTATATAATATGCAGTGTCTAGGGGCGGGGGCGTGGGGGTTGATTCCGATGACTACAACAAGCGGACAATCAAAGGAGTATCTTTTAATCCCGCCGAGCACACGAGAAACGGCGATACGATTATAAAAAATGTATTATATAATATTATATTATAGTACTATTTGCGCCGTTGCTGTATGCGCCGAGCACGATGATGTATTTATATTTTATATGTGCGACTTCAATGTATAATAATAACAATAAATATATGTGCATATAATTTGTAGACGAAGTGAAATAGAAACAAATAGTTATTCGTATACGAGATATTTTCATAATATTTAATAGACTATAAAATAAATACCTTGTTTAGTATTATTAAAATGTGTGTTCTATAAGTGTTGAGCATATTAAATTATAAATGTTTGAGAACCTTAATAATATACGGTCGGCACAATATTCCGTCGGACTTTAAACCATCTATATTACTTAGGGTAATACACTAATAAATTGTACAATAACATTATTATAATATAACGTGGGCAGTTCGGATGAATTACCTACATTTTTTGGAAACGCACTCTATATAATATATTTATTATTTACTGAGTGTTTTTACAATTAAGTATGTCTAAATTGAGATAAGCATACTTGGTGAAGTTGTCAAAAAATGAAATTTTCACGCATTATTATAAATTGTTTGAAAAATGTCAAATGACAATATTTTAATATTTAGTTCATATTTCATAACAAAATGTATAGAATACATAAAGTATACTGAAACTGACAATACCATGCATAAAAAAACTTTGAATAAATTAAAACGGTCATCGTCCGTGGTTAATGGATTGTTTCCGTTTATATAATTTCGTAACAAAGAGGGATACACGTTGCCAACATTCTATCAGATTACGGATACGGTACAACTTTTAAAGTCCAATATATTTTCATACCGTAGGGATACAGAAACCCGATCAACTGATCGAGTGTCGCTTCTATATTGTTCTGTGCTATTGATAACTATAGCTAGTGTCAATCACAGGATAAAACTTTTAGGTCACATAATTTTTTTTTAATAGGTATAGGTAAGGTATCAAATTGTGCAAAATATGAGACAAACGTTATGTGATGTAAGTATCATTTGATATGCGGACGTTTCAGAGAATACTGTGATATAATATATATATTTTTAAATTTGAATACATAATAATTTTAAGAAAAAAAAAATGTATAACCTTTCTTTTTTTGAGATGGAGAAAAAATCTAAAAATGTAATTTTTGGTCCATAACGTAATGGGCAATTGTCCTAATGGTGACAATAGTTGGTAAAAACCATGTTTATATAATATGTATTTAACTATACGTGTGTTGTGTACTTGTGTGTATATCGTATTACGTTGATTATATATCTTCGGGGTCGCGAGAAACTTCTTGTTTGCGATAATTAACCAGCTCTATAGCTTGCGTATATACGTACCTTTGCCATATACGATATATACCTTGACGACGAGGCGTAATATAATTAGAAATCCTACGATTTCAAAGGACGAGCGAATTACCACGGTATCCTGCAAGTACTATGTATACAACAACGGAATATATAGTATATACAGAGAACCACAAATACGCATTTTTCACAGGGTCGTAAAATATTTTCTGTCCAAAAATATACAATATTTAATATTATATAGCATGTACCTACCCATATATACATGAAAAAAATTCCGAATCTTGATGAATCGCGTGAGGAGTTATTTCCTTAGTAAGTCGTATTCCCCGATTTCAATAAGACTCGTTAAAAATGAATGCGAAATAAAAATAAGAAAATATACAGTATAATTTCTTTATCCTATAACCGATTCTACAGTTCTATGCCGCTATATAATTATATAATATTTTACATACCTATATCTTAGTATATAATATATATGGCATATGTATTAGTAGTTGAGGAAGAAATCACATTTTCAAACGATCGTCCGTATATACATAATAATAATACTGATGATATATCGGTTTTTTTTTAAGAGTTTTTGCCCGCTTTATAGTTTCATCTTGAAAACAACATTATAATATAGGTGTATGCGTAACGACCGACCGGTAAAAATAATTCCGACGGCTACGAGGGGACGTCGGATGTATATAATATAATATAATAAAGTTATTCAAATCGTCATCAGAGGGAACTGATATAATATTATATGTTTTGTCGAAGCCGTTTGAAACGGCAAAACTTCCGGGTGACAACGACCGCGGGGACAAAGCTCCGACGGCGATTCGGGCGGACTCGCGTATATATAATATAATGGCTTTCGGAACACGTTAGCGTTGCCAGCGAGCAGAGTTTCCACCCCCGCCGAGCCGTCTCGACCTTGGAAAACGAAAAACAATAGCACCGCCCTCGGTTTAATTGGCATTTGTCACTATATATATACGTATATGATATGGTATATACAAACACACACACACTCACATTATAGGCCCCTTCTAAATCCCGTCCCGCCGTTATATTGCGTCGAATTGACGAGTGTATATGATGCAATGCGCGGTAATATGCACATATTATATTATAATATGTATAAGCGACGTAAGCTATTCTGATGTTTGGAAACCTACAGAAACGGTATTATTATTATAAAAGAATCTATATACATATTGCAATAAATATATTATTGTAATTGGCGAAAGACTGGTGGATCGGTATTTAGTATTATATATAGTATAGGTAGGTATACGATTTGTGACGAAAACTCAATCACGGTATTGCTCATGATTACAGCCGCAGCGTATTCATATGATATACAGATTGAACTTCCCCGTTGGTAGGGAACGTAGTTATATATATTTGTAAAACGTGTATGATGGAAGATCGGTGAAAAAATTGTATTTTCTGCCGTTTCCGTCGTACTTATTATGTGCTGTATCGATACGTGGCCGGTGCAGCGACGATGACGCGTTATACGTAGACAAGTGCAGAAACCTACCTAACAATATAATAATTAATATTATTATTTACTATACACTGTTTGACGTTCTGTTTTATACGTATAGCTGTGAAATGAAACTCATCTAATAACGGCATTCATCAACAATAAAATTAACTTTACTTAGTCACTGTGTATTGTACAGGTATACCAAGCGATGAAGGGGTGGTAGTATTTGGCAGAGGGTACGTTTTTCTTTAATAAAATCATTCCCGTCATACCTATATACCGGTAAGGACTAAAGGACGAAAAATTTGTATTTTATATATTGGCGCCCGTTCGTAAAATAATTGTTACCATACCTATAGGTTATATAGATATATTGTATAATAATATATACGACGATTTAAAATTCACGGCTCTCGCCAGGGCAATTCGGTTCGTCAAGTGGTATTCAAAAAAAAAGGACTAATTAGCGTGTCGTTCCGTTGTTGCTTTATTTTTTTTTTTTTCATACCTCCCCGAGTCGTTTTTAATTGGCATATAAATCAAAGAGAAACGCACATCGGACATCGGAAACCGCGGCAAGGCAATAAAAATGCAAAAACCCTCCCTAAAAAGTTGCCCCCTCGGGAAATTCGCGAGCACGGCGATTTCGCAGTTGTTTTTCCCCTTTTCCGATTTGGACACACAAAAAAAAGTTAATAACGGTATTTTTTTATTTTCCTACAAAATTAAGCCCATAATTTATAAAGTATTTTTAACTACACAAATTTAATTCTACCGGTGTGGTTTTATTATTGCTTGTACAGAATATAGGATAAACATTCTCTACCGTATATCATCCCATACAGCCTACCCCGACCTACCCTATTAATCTATACCTGGGTCCCGGACCACTGGTTATAGAAAAAAATTGCAATCCATAATGCAATATATAATTACTAATTAGATTTATATAGGTACATGCAGAGTTCTGAGTAAGTTTAATTTTATTAAAAAAACACATATTATACGGTAAATGTTAACAATATTACGTCCGATTACAAATTATAATATGATGAAGTTCCGTGTAACTATATGCAAAAATCGGTAAATAATGTTTTCTATTTCTGTTGATTTCGGTCACTTTATAATAAATTTATATAAGTAAAAGAGACCTGCGTGGTTGCAGCAGATGACTATAATTACACCGCATGAGATATTTTGACAAATATGTATATCGCTCGAGGCTTAAAGCCAACTGAATAGTCTATACGCGGCTTTTAATAATAATTTCGATGTTTTTATATACACATTACACAACGCGAAAACAGTACATGGCAGACCGATATATTACAACGTCACATTCGTCGCGTAGTGTAGTATAGGTACACACGCATGCAACGGAATACAATAATAATAATAAACTATATATATATATATATATATATTATTATATACGCTGAACAACGCTGAACGCAATGCTGCAAGGACACATCGAGCGAGAGAGTCGGGAAATGGGTCGTAATAAAGGGACGAAATTAACTCGACGGCGTATATTCGTTAATGTTTTGTTTTTAGAGCCTCTCTCCCCCCGCCCCTCCCGCCCATCATCCGTTCAATCGCCCCCCCCGGACGGGGACGTGAAAACTTTATAATAACATTCCAAAGGCTATTACGAAAGTTTCGCGAGGCACCGCCGCCGGAAGAGCTTTGTTCTTCTCAGATTACGCGGGACGCAACGTCCTCTTTTGTGAACGTGAGAGGATGTATTATAGCAGCAGTGCGTGTTGCGTATAGTTAAGGTCGTTCGCGTTTCACCTGATAAATAAAAAATATATATATGTATCCCGAACA